AGAATGGGGCCCTCACTGAGGCAGGGAAGCTATGGGAGGGTGAGTAAGGATATCTATGGTGCTGTAGCAGCATGTGGTCAACCCTGGCTTCCTGCATAGGGCGCAGCATAAATATCTGTGTTTGTTCTCAGGCACCTTTCTGGGACGGGTCTGGAAGCAGGGCTGGCAGCAGACATGGGGCAGAGCGAGTCTGAGTCTCAGGATGAGCAGGAGGTAGGTGCTGTCTAGTTCTCTGCTGCCCAGCGATCACTGAACATAAGAACGGCTGTATGGAGTTAGACCAAAGTCTGTCTAGCCCAGTATCCTGTCTTTGAACAGTGGCCAATACTAGGTGCCCCAGAGGGAGTGAACGGAACAGGGAACCATCCAGTGATCCCTCCCCTGTCATCCATTCCCAGCCTCTGACAAACAGAGACTGTTGACACCGTTCCTACCCACCCTGGTTAATAAATTTATCTAACTCTTTTTTTGACCCCCGTTAAAGTCCTGGTCTTCATAACATCCACTGCAGTGCGGAGTTCCCAGCCTCTCAACCCATTATTCCCCCCAGCAGAGAGCTTCCCTGGTGGTGCTGTCAGCTGGCAGGGTGGGTCTCATCAGGTCCTTGTCCAGTCAGCACCGTCTCCTGGGACCACTTCCTTAGTGCAGAGCACTTGTCTGGCATCCTACTCAGAGTCCTCCACAGGACCCAGTAGGGCATCCCCTACCTCTGAGTTGGGAATATTAAATCTAGCACCCAGGCGATGTTCGGCTCCCAGAATCCCCTGTCTCCCATGAGGACTAGTGGGTCTGGCAGGAGCCTTTCCAGCACCCCTCTGCGATGTGTCTGCTGGGGCAGGTGTTGTCTGCTGGGGCCTGCCCTGTTATGTGTCCCTTGAACATCTATCTGCCTCACTCCAGAGGTGGCTGCATTTCAGTAGGGAGCCAGGCAATCTGCCAGCTGGTGCTGAAGCTCTGTCTGCATCTCTCCTCGTGCAGGATGCAGCACTCACAGACATGTTGCCCAGTCTTAAGGTCTTTGTGGAGGATCAGCTCCAGACCAGCATGGTGAGGAGGGGCAGTGGGGGGTTTATGCCTGGGGTGTGGGACCAGGTAGGGTGTCTCCAGGAGGGGTTGTGTTTCTGGGGGATCTGGAGCAGTGTTGTGGTCTGGCCAGATGGCACAGCCCACAGGCCGTAGCCCAAGGCAGCCCATTTCCTAGCAGGCTGGGAGGCTCTGGTTCTTGTCCTGGAGTGTGCTGGTATCTTTGGGGCTCAGCCATGCCTGGGCAAGTCTTGGCTGGTTAGTGGAGGGGCTGATAGTCTTGGGGCTGGGGAAGAATTTCCCCTGGTTTGAATGGGGAGGAGCCCACTGGCTTCCAATTCCTTTTGTACTCTGTGTGGCGGCTGTCCCGTCCCTCTGAACGTAGGGCTGGGGGTAGTCACTAGTTATGGTGACCGTATTTTCTGAACCAAAATTAGGGACACATTGGCCATGCCCCTGACCTCCCTTGTGGCAGGGGAAATGGCTAATGGAGTTCCACCCCTGGAAGTAGTACTCCCGGGGTCAAGATGGACATGTGACCAGAAGTAAAAGATGTATGACCCCTCCCCCCAAGAACTCCTTCCATTGTTGTCCTACCAAAAGGGATGGGTTTGGCCTCCACAGGACCTCCCATGCAATTGCATTAACCCAGTTTGCATTGCATTAACTTGGGGGGGGGGGGGAAGGCTGGGGAAAGTGTTCCCTCTAAGATTTTCCTCCCACGAGCAGAGTGAATTTTGTCTTGTGCAGCAGTATTGAGTTCATGTGCGCTTGTTTGGATGTGCCATTGTGGCACCTCAGCTATTAATAAATATCTTGTAAATCTCTCTCATTTCCCTCTGCTGCCATGTCTCCCTCTCTCTCCTCGCCCCATCTGCTCCCCTGGTGCCTTCTGCCCCCCACCCCTCATCCTCCTCTGCTGTCCTGGCTCCTGTCTTTCTCACTCCCCTCAGTCCTTTGGGGACCTGCTCCCCCTCCTGTGCACCAGCCCTTCTCTGCCCCCCATGTCCACTCCTCCTCTCTGATCATTTGTAGCTATCCCTCCCCATCCCCTCTCCTAACACCTCCCACTACCCACCTGCCCTGCCTTTCTCCTCTGTCCTCTAGTGCCTGTCCCTCCCCTCCACTTGTCTCCCCATCTGCTTCACCCCCACAATCCCCTGGCACCTTCATCTTCCCTTACCCCTGCACCTTCCCTCACTGCCCCTGCCCTCCTGGCCCTCTTTCTCCTTGGTGCCTACCCCCTCACCACTCTCTGTCCCAGTTCCCCTCTTGCCCCTCAAGTGCCTTCACAAATAACTTGCTCCATCCCCTGCCTTCCTCATGCCCACCTCTCCTTTCAATCCCTCTTCTCCTGGCACCCACTCCCCCCCCTCCTCTTCCTTCCTCTTGCCCCCATTGTCCCTCCCCTCTCCCAGCATCACCCTGTCCCCTCCCTTCTGCCACCCCCACTGACACCTTCCCTCCAATCCCCCTCCTGCCCTTTTCCTCATTGTCTCCTCTTGACCCCCTGGCATTTGTCTCTCCTCCACCCTGCCTCTTGGTGCCTTCCCCTTTCTTCTGCCCTGCCCCCTCCCACTCTCCTCAGCACAAGCACCTTCCACTCCTCACCCCACCTTCCCTTTAGTTCTCCCCCTACTCCTTCCCTCACCTTCTGCCTTCAACATGGAAAGCAGTTTGTGGGGCTGGATCTGGGCTGCAACTCAATTTTTATTACCATGGTCTGGCCCCAGAAACCCCTGCAGCCCTGGTCCCAGCTGCTCCCAGGGTGGGATCGCGTGCCGCGACTGGAGCAGAGACCACCTGCAGTGCTATTTTTAGTACCACAGTCCTGATCCTCCGCAGGCTGCCCAGCTCCAGCTGGAGTCAAGCAGCAGCCGCACGAGGCCCATTCCAGTGAGGCTGCCCTGGCTGGAATGTGCGCCCATGGGGACCCAGACCACAGTACTCAAAATAGCACCATGGGCGGCCTCTGCTGTAGTCCCAGCACCTACTGAGCCCAACCCTGCAGTGGCCCAGCTGGGCTCCACGTGGCTCCTGCTGGGGCTCCAAGGTGGCCCGGAGGAGGAGGAGGAGGCGCTGCTGCCAAACCAAGACCCCATGCAGCAGAGGCGGTCCCGCAGGTGGAGGGTGGGGAGGGGGACAGAAAGGGGCCACAAGGCACCGGAAACTGGCCCAGCTGCCCTACCTGCCCTGCTGAGGGAGATGGGGAGAAAGAAGGCTGCTGTGCCATGCTAGGAGCAATGGCATGGTGCCATTTCTTGCTTCTTCCTACAAGCTGGTGTCTCCATCAAATAATGTTTGGCAGGGCTTTCTGGGACATTTCACTACTTGATGGGGCACCGGGACAGAGTATTTAAATTCGGGACTGTCCTGGAAAAATCGGGACAAATGGTCAGCATATCACTAGCCAAAGGACAGGCTGGGAAGGATTCTCCCTGCTGCCTCAGCACCTGATGTGGGGCAGTCCAGTTGGTGCCCTGCAGTGGCCGTTGCAGTCCCAGCCAGGTGCTTGGCTGGTATTGTATTGCATGCATGGACTGGCTGTCACTGATTCACCCAATCTGTGCTGTGCCATGCCCTTTGCCTAGCCTCCAGGGGTCACCCCTGTCATGTGCCAAATCCCAAGGGGTCACACAGCCTTAGCACCTCTGGGTCTGGACCTCTGGGCTCCAGCACCCCCTGCTGCTCACAATGAGCTCGTATTTGTGAGGACTTTTCCCTGTCAGGGATCGCTGCATCGGCCATAACCTGCAGTGACGCTGCACAGCCTTTTCAGAGAGGGAGTCACCAGTCACCTTCACTCTGGACTCAGGGACCCTTAGGGTAGCACGACACAGGTGAACATGGATCAGAGTGTGCAGATGAGAGCCAGAGCTCTGTCACAATCTGATCCTTTGACCTCTATTGTCCCCACTTGGAGTCTGTGCTCCCAGTAGCATCCTGCAGCCATCTCGCCCCCTGCCTTCCCTTGTTCTCCAGCCAGGCTGTGTGCCTGTGCCCATCCTGCCTTAACTCTGAATGACTCAGTCTTTGGGGTTCCTGTTGTTTCTTCTCCTCCAGCACAGTGGCAGGTGTGACAAAATGGGGATTTTTTTGTAATATTTTTGAGTCCAGTGTGTTTCACTTTCCCCTATATTTCGCATGGCTACCCAGTGGGGGGAAAGGATTGTTTGCTCCCAAGGCAGACTGAGACGTGGGGGTAGCGGGGAGGTGTCCTTGCTGTCCAAGTGCACTGAAATGGTCCTCAGAAAGGACTGGCTGATGCCGACCCATCAGTGGAAAACCCCAGTCACCAAGACATTGATACCTGACAACCAGCACTTGGCTGGTCCTTCTCGGCAGGGAACTCCAGCAGAGGCCAGGGTATGAGACCAAAGGAGGAGGTGGGAAGAATAGAGCGCTCTGCTGGAAGAGGCTGGGAGCTCTCACTGCTTGGCCCAAGAACAGCAGTCAGAGGCTGCAGGCATTGGCATTGCTCTGGGCTGCCTGTGCTTCATGGGAACCGGAGTACTTCCCCCTGCTGGGTTCCAGCTGCCTGATAAACCCATCTATGCAACTCTCTCTGGTGCACTGGTTCCTGGGAAGGGTGTGCTCTGCCTGGGTTCCCTCGGGAGTGCTCACTAAGCAGAGCTCGTGAGGTAAAGCTGGAGTGCTGCTCTCTGTTGTGTGTGGGCAGCTGAGGTGACGTGTAGGGGAGAGGCATGGCCTGCAGCCTCATGGGCTGCAGAATGGCCTCGCCATCACTTTCTATGCCAGGGGTGGGCAAAAGGGCCTCTGCGGGCTGGATTTGGCCCATAGAGGCCCTGCTGCTCCCCCGCCCCCTGGCCAATCAGGGTCCACGGACAAGGGGAAACACACAAAGTTTCCTTCCGCCCCACAAGGAGTGTGTGGTGCTTAGAAGCACTGCACACTCCTGGCAAGGTAGGAGAAGACTTATTAGGGTCTGGGGGCAAGGAAGTGCCCGAAGCCTCCTCCCTCCAGGAGTACATGGAGCTTTGAAGCTGCTCTCAAGGCAGGGGGGAGAGCAGAGGAGGCATCACGTGCTCCCCCGCCCCCACACCCTGATTGGCCTGGGGGCAGGGGAGCGTGCCAACCCTTTTGCAGGGCATGGGTGCCTAGTGGGAACCAGGGTCAAAGGGTCTGCCCCACCCCCAGACCATTCATGGTCTGGGGGTGGGGTAGCCCCGCCCCTTTCCATTTAGGCCCTGCCCCTTCCGGGTTGTCCCAGGGCTATTTCAAAAAATTTTAAGTGACCCCCTGAGCAATAATTATTGTCCACCCTTGCTCTTTGCCTTTTTCAGTGCATTGCAGACCAAGTTCCCAGCTCAGAGCCGGCCCCCATGATCAGCTCCACCTTTGACCACAGGCTCCTGGTCCTGTCCAGCTTTTAACTGCAGGATCCCAGCCTTGCAAACTCTATTCCTGGCTTTGGGATGGGCTCTGTGATGTTGGACAAGGTAGCTGGGGCCAGGTCTGAGGGCTGTTGATGCAGTCCCTGTGCACACGTGCCCATGCAGTTGCAGGAGTCTAAATGCCAAGGCTGCCCTCTTTCTCTGAGGGCAGGATCCCCATCTCGCTCCCAGCTGGGCACTGTGGCTTGCAAAGAGCTTGGAGCCCCTCACAGCCATGCTGCTGGAGCAGGGCAAGCTGCCTACTGCTGGGGGGAGACTTACCCTTGGAACCAGCCTTGGAGAGCATCTCTTGAGGCCCCCAGGATTTCTACCAGGCAGAGGTGATGCTTTTCTCTCCCTCGTAGCAGGTTCTGGTGTGACGCCAGTAGAAATCAGGGGAGCACATGACCTGCACATGTGTCCCTCCCCTCATATCTCCCCTGGGGTGGGCACATTGAAGGGGTTCCTTCAAGAGAGTGATCCAAAGCTGGGGGCCTAGCATCAGTCCTGTGGCTCCCTGACAATCAGATCAGCTCAGTTCATGTGAATGATGCTGGTCTCCAGGCAGATGGCTTGTTGAGTCCAACACCTTGTGCCTTCTATGTCCGGGAAACTGCACATTCTGCTCTAAAAATATTGCCTGCATTTCCACATTCACACCATCGCTCCACAGGGCAAGGTCTCCTCGTATCTGCCCCATGCAGTCCCCCATAGCCTGCCTGGAAGCCTGGCTTGGAACATGCCTCTTCCCACTTCCCACAGGTGGTGGGTGTCATGATTGGCATTGGTGTTTCCATGCTACTCATCGGGAAACTGCACATTCTGCTCTAAAAATATTGCCTGCATTTCCACATTCACACCATCGCTCCACAGGGCAAGGTCTCCTCGTATCTGCCCCATGCAGTCCCCCATAGCCTGCCTGGAAGCCTGGCTTGGAACATGCCTCTTCCCACTTCCCACAGGTGGTGGGTGTCATGATTGGCATTGGTGTTTCCATGCTACTCATCTCCACGTTGATCCTGGTGCTGGTCCGCAGGCTGCGCCTCAAGAGTAAGTGCCTGTCAATGCAGGGAGCAGATCTGAGCCCTGTCCCACCAGGGCTCTGGCACGTTGCTGCCTGTCAGGCCACCTTGGGCCCAGTGTCCACATACCTGTACATGCACTGAGACTGTGATAGCGGGAGCAGGGTTGGCAGCCAGGATTCCAGGGTTCTCTCCCTCTCACTCACTGCCTGGGCAAGCCTCTTCCTGTTCCCTGCCTCAGTTTCCCCATATACAAAGAAATTGTGAGGGGTATTTTGGGACTGGTTGGGAAGGGCATAAAACTTCTGTGGTTCTTTAGAGGCAGCCCAGCTTCCTGTGGCTGGCACGGGGTGGACAAGGCAGGACTCTGCCATCTGTACTTCGGGGCCTCTGCTCCTCTCCCTGGGCTGGGAGTTGGGTTGCAAGCAGGAATTCTGATTGATGGGGAAGAGGGCAGACTCCAGCCCTTGCTGGGGTGGGGCCCCATGCTCCCTGCATGGGCAACCTTGTGTGTCTGTCTCTCTCAGAGGTTCAGACTCAGGAGACACCCAAGTACCGATTCCGCAAGCGGGACAAAGTGCTGTTCTACGGGCGCAAGATCATGCGCAAGGTAAGGGGATAGGGCAGAGTGGCCCTCGTCCTCCAGTCCAGGCTGGAGAGTGGTGATGACTCTGGCCGCTCTGCTGTGATGCTCCAGTCCCTATCCCCTCCCTGTTTGCAAGCCTGGCCTTGGCCCAGCTGAAGGGTCCATGCTCAGCCAACCATGTGCTGCTAGCGAGCCAGGTAGGAGACAGTGCGGTTGGCCCTGCTAGGATAAGAACGGCCATACTAGGTCAGACCGAAGGTCCATTCTACCCGGTATCCTGTCTGCCGACAGTGGCCAATACCAGGTGCCCCAGAGAGAGGGATCATAACAGATAATCCTCATGTGATCCCTCCCCTGTCACCCACCTCCAGAGAAACAGAGGCTAAGGACACCATTCCTACCTATTCTGGCTAATAGCCTGGATGCCATATGCCTGTCTATTTGCCCACAATGGGGAGTCCTCATGCAACTGGCCTTCTCCTGCATGTCACTCCACCCCAGCGCCAGCCCTTTCACCTCTCAGGCCTGGTTTCCTGCCACCCTGAATCCTCAAGGCAGCCAGATAAGGGGTTTGGGCCATAAGTTGTCTGGGGGAGCAGTTGATGACTTATCTGGACTGTCTCTGCAGGTGTCCCAATCCACCTCCTCCCTTGTGGACACGACCATCTGCAGCACCTCCCGTCCTCGCATGAAGAAGAAGCTCAAGATGCTGAACATTGCCAAAAAGTAAGTGACTTCACTCACCCTCCATGGTGTGAGGCAAGTGGGGCTGGCCCAGCCCTGCTCCCAAAGGTGGTGGAAGCTCCCATGTTCCCAGCCCTGCTGCAAAAGTGAGTAGCATGCTTGCTCCCAGCCATTAGCACTGGCTGATTTGCTCTGCAAAGCAGCTACACCCCAACCCAGACACTGGCCTATGGTACGGAACTGCTCAGTTCCCTGGGTGGCATGAGCGAGCGCTAAGGCTCAGGAAGGAGTTCTGCCTCTTTGATGCATGACGCATATTCTCTCCTGCCCAGCTGTGTTGGAGAAGTCCTGTGGTTATCCCCATCTATCCCTTCCCTTACTGTCCCTGTGCCCAGGATCCTGCGCATCAAGAAGGAACTGCCCATCCTGCAACTGAAGGAGCCGCCACCCTCAGTGCTGGAAGCAGACCTGACAGAGTTTGATGTGGCCAACTCCCACTTGCCCTCTGAGGTGCTGTACATGCTGAAGAACGTACGGTGAGTGCTCCCATCACCAGGGCCTCAGCCTAGATTCAGCTGCAGTCATGTTTCCCCCTCCCCCTATGAGCAAGCTTGAGCTAGAGTGGACACCTGAATAGGAGAGTCGAAATGATCCTGGGCCCATGACGTGGCCAGCTGGCCGTGTATGGAGCTCTCTGTCTGACTGATTCCCCAGCAAAGTCCTGGGAAAACCCACAGATGATAACTTTGCTGTGGGCCTGTCAGGCCATCTAGTCCAGGGGGCCTCCACCTTTCTTCATTTGCAGACCCCTTAGAAATTTGTGTACGCAGCTGAACTCTCCTTGAGCCATTTTTAGCCTGTCTTTTGCAGACCTCTCAGGCAGAGTCTGTGGGCCTGTGGCTCACTGGTTGAGAACCACTGTTCTAAGTGGTGAGGCTCCAGCCCAGGCCAACCATCGATAGGAGAGCTGTCAAGAATGCTCTGGAATCGTGGCTCTGTTCTCCAGTAGGGGGCTCTCTTCCCTTTTGGCTGATAGGGAGCCAGTACCCCTCACCCCCAAGGTGCTGGAAGGTTAGTGGAAGCACCCTCTGTCAGGTGAGAGCAGATGCTGCGTGCTGGTCTTTGCAGGCTCAAGGTGACCCCCAGCAGTGCTAGTACTGGCTGAGTCTTAGCAGTGTGGCTGTGGGGTTATTGCATCAGGCATACTCTCCCCAGAGGCAGCTGTGTTTGGGGTCAGGGAGAGATTTCTGCCCCGGGGGTGGGGTGACAGCCTGTGGGTACTGGGATCCTGGAGCAGAGTAGTGTCAATGGGGGCTCCCTCTCCCACATACACACTTTGGGTATGTCTACACTACCCTCCTAGTTCGAACTAGGAGGGTAGTGTAGACATACCCAAAGTGTGTATGTGGGAGAGGGAGCCCCCATTGACACTACTCTGCTCCAGGATCCCAGTACCCACAGGCTGTCACCCCACCCCCGGGGCAGAAATCTCTCCCTGACCCCAAACACAGCTGCCTCTGGGGAGAGTATGCCTGATGCAATAACCCCACAGCCACACTGCTAAGACTCAGCCAGTACTAGCACTGCTGGGGGTCACCTTGAGCCTGCAAAGACCAGCACGCAGCATCTGCTCTCACCTGACAGAGGGTGCTTCCACTAACCTTCCAGCACCTTGGGGGTGAGGGGTACTGGCTCCCTATCAGCCAAAAGGGAAGAGAGCCCCCTACTGGAGAACAGAGCCACGATTCCAGAGCATTCTTGACAGCTCTCCTATCGATGGTTGGCCTGGGCTGGAGCCTCACCACTTAGAACAGTGGTTCTCAACCAGTGAGCCACAGGCCCACAGACTCTGCCTGAGAGGTCTGCAAAAGACAGGCTAAAAATGGCTCAAGGAGAGTGCGGGGGGGTGAGGAGGGTGGGCATCAGGGCTTGGCCCATCTTCTCTGAGCATTGGGAGGGATGGGTGTGCTGGGAAGCCCAGCCCTTTGGACCAGGATGCCATGTGTCAGACTCAGGGCCTCAGAGGTACAGGAGCCTCGCCAGGCACCTGCTGGGCATCTCTCTCTGAGCAGGGCTCTTGCTTAGACAGTCCCGGTGAGTGGGACTGAGCAGGAGCTCAGCTGGACCCCAAGGGCTCCTGATAACCTGAGTCCCAAGTCCCTGCCATAAGTTGCTGGAGGCTTTGCTCCCCATGTTGCCCACTGTGACCTACCTTTCCTTGCAGGGTGCTGGGCCATTTTGAGAAGCCACTGTTCTTGGAGCTCTGCAAGCATATGATCTTCCAGCAGTTCCAGCAGGGCGAGTACATCTTCCGGCCCGGCCAGCCCGATACCAGCATCTATGTGGTGCAGGATGGCAAGCTGGAACTCTTCCTGACCCAGCAGGTGAGGGGGACACGTCCCAGTCCATCCTGCCAGGTTGTCTGCAGGAGGCACCTCTCTGCCCAGCAGCCAGCAGCAACCTGTCCTGGTCCCAGTACTCTGAACCTCTTGGCTGGGTGTTTGCTGTACCTGGGGGCACATGGGATGCAATGGCAGAGGCCAGAAGCCCTGCCTTTCAGGACCGCTGTGGCTGTCAGCATGGAAGTTCCCCACGGGCTGCCTCCTAGGGAGAGGCTCATAGTCATAGAATCCTAGGGCTGGAAGAGACCTCAGGAGTCATCGAGCCCAACCCCCTGCCCAACGCAGGACCAATCCCAACTAAATCAACCCGGCCAGGGCTTTGTCAAGCTGGGACTTAAACACCTCTAGGGATGGAGATTCCACCCCCTCCCTAGGGAACCCATCCCAGTGCTTTCCCCAGCCTCCTAGGGAAATAGATTTTCCTAATACCCAACCTAGACCTCTCCCACTGCAACTTGAGACTGCTGCCTCTTTTTCTGCCATGGAGCAGGCTTCCCCAGAGCCTGGTGCCAAGTGAGTTCTGGTGGCAGGAATGATGAGGGTGGGCAATGGGACCCCCTAAGGAGGGTGTTGCTGTGTTGCAGGATGGGAAGGAGACCCTGGTGAAAGAGGTGTTCCCTGGGGACAGCGTGCACAGCCTGCTCAGCATTCTTGATGTCATCACGGTACAAGCCTTGCCCCTCCACCTCCTGTGGGCCAGCTGGCCCCATCCCAACCACCATGAATAATGCAGCCCTGGGCTCCCCCTGGTCGTACTCATGCCCCCATCCCACCCTGCAAGCCCCTGCTCTCCTAACCCTATGAAGGGGGCCTATGTGAGGGGTGTGCACTGAACCCACCATGATGGATTTGCTGCCTGGGTCCCAGGTGCTGAGTTGCCACCATTACCTTGCCATGTGCTTGCCACCTTGCCCACACAAAGTCTAGAAGATACTGATCTTCCGTCTACAAGGCCTGGATCTGGGCTGTGACTGGCTGCTGTGCTGGGGTGGATGTGGCCATAGGCTGTTGGTTGGCCCTTTTTGGCCTGAAGCCATGGGGCAGCCCTTTGGGCACCTGGCTATCCTTGGCAACGTCCCCAGTGGTAGGCTGCTCTATCCACAGGAGAAGGAGAGAGCACCCCAGCCTTGGGCAGGGACCCATGGGCTCCTGCTTCTCACACAGGGGCACCAGCGGCCTTACCGGACGGTGTCTGCACGGGCAGGCGAGGACTCCACGGTGCTGCGGCTTCCGGTTGAGGCCTTCTCTGCCGTCTTCGAGAAATACCCTGAGAGCCTGGTGCGGGTGGTGCAGGTGAGCATAGCCTTGGCCGCATCCCAAATGCTGGTCCTGCCTCACCCGGACTCCCCATGCTCACACCGCCACCTTCCCTTCCAGATCATCATGGTGCGTCTGCAGCGGGTCACCTTCCTAGCCCTGCACAACTACCTGGGGCTGACCAATGAACTCTTCAGCCACGTGAGCGACGGGTCCTGCCCTGGAGCTATCCCCAATGGAGCGGTGGTCCCTGCTCCTTGCACCAGAACCTCCACCAGTTTTGGGATCCTGTCCAAGGCTGGGATGAGGCTGGGGAGGAGAGAGAGCTAGAACCCCCTGAGCAAAACCTATAAGGGGTGGGGGTTCCTGTGCAGCAGGGATGGAGCAAGGCCTGGCAGGATGCCCCCTGTTGGCACCGAGTCATAGCGAGAAGCCTTAACACCCAGCCTGGTGTCTCTGGTGAGACAAAGAATCTGAGTTTTGGGATCCTGTCCAAGGCTGGGATGAGGCTGGGGAGGAGAGAGAGCTAGAACCCCCTGAGCAAAACCTATAAGGGGTGGGGGTTCCTGTGCAGCAGGGATGGAGCAAGGCCTGGCAGGATGCCCCCTGTTGGCACCGAGTCATAGCGAGAAGCCTTAACACCCAGCCTGGTGTCTCTGGTGAGACAAAGAATCTGCACCCAAGCAGCTCATCCCTGGCTCGGCCCTGCTCTGCCTTTCAGCCTTACGGCTGGGCGGGTGGAGCTGCGGCCTCCAGGAATGGCCAGGTCTGTTCTCCGATGGCAGAGAAACCAGACTACTGTTCAGACGGGTCAGTGAGCTGGCTCAGTGACCCTCTGCCCCCAGGTGTCAGTTTCCCAGCAGCCTAAGTGCAGGCTTTGTGGGGCTTTGTCGTGTGATGGCAGCAGCCCTCAGTGCTCTGGGCTCTGAGCCCCCTCTGCCTACAGCAGCACATCTGGCTCCTCCCATGTTATATGGCTCTGGGGATATGGGTCTCCCCCACCCATGCCATGTGGCTGCAGGTGTGGAGCTTGGTCCCTTCTGGACCACCAGCCAAGTGAGGGGCTGTCCTGCCCTTTGTCCCTCAGGTCTGCTCTAGGGTGGGGCCAGGACTTGCTGTGGGAGGGCAGATACGATGCTCTAAATGGCTCCTCTTGGTCTTGAGTGATGCATGTGGCTGGTCCCCAGGCTGGCCTGGTGCTGATGCTGACTGTGTCTGTGGCAGGAGATGCAGCCGCTGCGGCTCTTCCCTCAGCCCAGCCATGCCTCGCGCACCAGCCCTGTCAGACACAGCAAGCGCGTCGTCAGCATCTCCTCCATCGATGACCACAAGGAGAGCTCTGGGAGGCAGCCAGATGCCAGCACCAAAGACGTGGGTGAGAATTGCCATAACTCAGGGAGGGGAACACAGCAGCTGTGCTCTCTCCCAGTGCCTAAGCTGTGCACAGGCTGGACAAGGGTGGAAGAAGACAAAGGGGCAGAAGAGCTTGGTAGGGGATGCTGTGCTGCAGGGATCAGGGTGGGGGTCTGCTGTGCAGCCTTCCCAGGGACTCCCCTTGCATCAGAACAGCTGTGGAGCAGCTTTCAGCATCAGTCCTGCCCCTGGAGATAGGCTGACTGCAGGGACCGACCCAGAGCAGGGGATGCTCTGGGCACCATGGTAATGGGATGTGTGTGTGTCACCCTCACAGCTGATCAGCTCAAGCTGGGGTCCCTGGAGCTGACTGCAGCACCACTACTGAGCCGCTGCATCTCCATGCCAGTTGATATCTCAGGTATGGGGGATCCCTCAAAGGAGGGAATCGTGGGGGTTTGGACCCAGGAAGTCTGGAGCAGCAGGTGATGACGGGGGAACTCCTGGCACAAGCCCTGCCCTGCTGCAGGGTGGGGATGCTGCCTGGCCAGTTGGGGTGGGGGTTGTTGCCCCAACTGAGCTGAGACAGAGTTAGACACAGGAAGCAGGCTCAGGGCACTCTGGGGGTTGAACCAACTTGGGAGAGCCCAGTGGCCGCAGGTGCCAAGGGAGGCAGCGGGTCTGAGATGCGCCACTAGGAGTGGGCACCCTGGAGAACGAGCTGTTTGATGGGGGATGCTGGGCTAAGCTCGGTCATTATTGGCTAAGTATCAGAGGGGTCGCCGTGTTAGTCTGAATCTGCAAAAGCAGCTAGGAGTCCTGTGGCACCTTATAGCCTAACCGAAGTGTTGGAGCATAAGCTTTCGTGGGCAAAGACCCACTTCGTCAGATGCATGTAGTGGAATTTCCAGAGGCAGGTATAAATATGCAGGCCAGGGTCAGGCTGGAGATGATGAGCTGGATCCAATCAGGGAGGATGAGGCCCACTTCTAGTAGCTGATCTGGAGTGTGAATACCAACCTACTAGAAGTGGGCCGCTACTAGAAGTGGGCCTCATCCTCCCTGATTGGATCCAGCTCATCATCTCTAGCCTGAGTCTGGCCTGCATATTTATACCTGCCTCTGGAAATTCCACTACATGCATCTGACGAAGTGGGTCTTTGCCCACGAAAGCTTATGCTCCAACACTTCGGTTAGGCTATAAGGTGCCACAGGACTCCTCGCCATTATTGGCAAAGGCACTGAGTAGCCTGACAGGGAGGGGTAGGCATCCTGGCCATGTAGAAAGCATTGCCTTGGCTTCTCTCCTGCACAGGCCTCCAGAAGGGTCCCCGCTCAGACTTCGACATGGCCTACGAGCGCGGCAGGATCTCGGTGTCGCTGCAGGAGGAGAGCACCAGTGCCATGGCTTCCTTCTCCCCCGTGGGTCCCCTCACACACCTCCCTGATTGGGCCCACACTGGGCACCCTCCAACCAGCTGCCAAGTTGGGGCTGCTCACTGTCCAGGTGCAAAGCACCCAGCGGGATCTGGTGTGGGGCAGAGGCGCCGCACAAAGAAGTGTGAGGTCACGCTGTCTGCTCAGGGGTGGGGCCGGCTTCTGCCTGGTGTGTACACGTCACTCCCTTGTCCAGGACAGCACAGAGGGCAATACTGTGGCCAGCAGAAATAGCCTGGGGGCTGTTCCAAGGAAGGTGTACATAGAAGTATGGGGGTTTGATAGCCGGGCACAGGGTGAGAGCGGAAGGCGGGTGCAGGCAGAACAGTGTCACTGCAAGGGATGGGGAGGTGCCCCGATGTGTGGGCAGTGGCAGGGGCAGGGGGCAATGCTGGAGGCTGTTGCAAGGTCCTGTCATGCTCTGAGCTGTCCTCCTGTCTCTCCAGTCAGTCTCCCAGGAGCCCAAGGAGCACAGGTCAGTGATGGCGGAGGAGCAGACTCCCAGTACCTATCACTACAACTACTGTGAGGATGACTCAGCAGGTGGTGCCTGCCCCTTTGGGCCTTACCAAGGCCGCCAGACCAGTGCCATCTTCGAGGCTGCCAAGCGGGAGCTGGTGAAACTCATGAAGATTGAGGTGAAGGGACAGCGAGGGGCACAGGACCTTCAGTGTCTGGGGTGGGCAGGGACGATCCTTAGTGGCTGGGGAGGGCAGGGGTGGTTTCCTGGAGTCTGCCCGAGGAGCCGAGGGCCAGACTCGGGAAGGGTGAGTTTGCAGGCTCTGCCTCGGGGTATGGAGGGAGGTGAAGCCAATCCCTGGGCTCTGTCAGGGCCATGCAGGGGGGAGACAGAGTGGGACCCTGGGCTCTACCACTCTGGGCTGACCTGTCTGTGCTGGGAGGGGCTGGCTGATCCTTCAGGCCAGTATAGGGGCTGGGAAGGACTGTGGGAGAGGCCCTAGCATGGGGAGAGACTCTGAAGTTCCTGGTCAGTGCAGCAGGGCCCAGCCTGGCAGCCCTTCAGTCCTTTGTTGTTGCTATCCCCACAGGACTCCTCCCTTCTCAACAACCGAGTGCTGCTGCACCACGCCAAGGCCGGGACAGTCATCGCCCGCCAGGGGGACCAGGTAGGTGTGGGGGAATACCAGGGCCCAGCAGCCATGGGGCAACACTGACATAGCAGGTGCTCAGAGTTGGTGCTGCTGTTGTTTCTTGGCAGCTGGGGCCTGGTCCCCTCTTCCCTGTGGCAGCCCCAGTGTGGATGGGCAGGAGGTGCTTCCTCTGGGCTGCCTCCTGAGGTTTGGGTACTGGTGCTGATGACTCTGTGAGGAGCAGGGCAGTGGGGCTGCCGAGCATCTCAGAAGCATGTGTGCCAACTTCAGGGCAAACTGTTACACACCCAGACTGGCTGTGTGCTCTGGATGGATTTTACCAAGTATAAACTCCTTCAGCCCCATAACAGCCAGACCATGGAGTCACTGACAGGCCCCTGGAGCACCCGGGTCTAGGTTACCATCCAGACAAGCCAGCCTTTGTGACTGATTGGCCCTGTCTCGGGACAGATTCACTGCCACAGTGCCTCCTGCCAGTAGCATGGGGAATTAGTTCATCCACAGGGCGCCTCCCTCTGGCTGGTGTGTCCCTGTGTCCTCACTCCATGTTTCAGTTCCAGACTCATGTTGCTCCCAGACTGTAATGTCCTATTCAGAAAACTGCCATCTAACAGTGCCCACTATTGTTGTCTCTCATCCAGGGGCTGTGCTCTGAGGTCCTCCCCTCCCAGGGAACCTGCAATTTTCCTATCCCCACCTTGCCTTAGTGACCCACTGTGAGTCTTCATTTTGCTCCTTACCTCAGGGGCAAACTGCAGTCTGGAATGACTACTCATCACGGGCAAGGGGGTGGGTCTATCCTGACCACCTCCCCGCAGCCCTAGAACCTTGAGGCCTTGCTTCAGGCCCTGCAGCCTGGGACCGAGGCCAGGCCAGAACTCCCCAGATTTCCCTGTCTTTTCCCAGCATTGTTCTGTCTCAGGAAGTCTCCAGCTTCCCTGGCAGCCAAGTCCCTCCTGCTCCCCAGCTAGTGCAAGAGTCCTTCCCCACTCCTGGAGCCTTTATTTATGTGTCCCCTTAGCTGTGGCCTTTGCTCTCAGTCTTCTCCCAGGGCTGGGTTTTACCCTTAAAGGGCCAGTGTGGGGCAGATGCCCCATCACAAGTCCTTACACCAAGAATCACAGCAGTATTCAAGTTACTCCCTGAGCCAAAGGATCAGTCAGCTGTACCTTAGATTTCAAACCACTGACAACACATGTAGCCAGTCCTGTCATACTAACCAAAGATTGATTAACTAGTAAAAAGAAATGAAAGTTATTTGCAAAATGAAAGCAGGTAATGGACACACACAAGTGAAGTATAGTGAGGTTCCAAAAGGCAATAGAAGTTTCTATAATTGGCAGGCTACATACCAGGGTGTGACGGGTTGGATCACAGAAATCTCCTTGGGTTGTCCCTCGGCGTGCTGATCAAGTTGCTGGTGCCCGCCTTCCTGCCCACTGGAGCTCCCCACCACCCTGTCCTGCTGGGCTAGAAACTCTGGTCGCTTCCAGGCAAGGCAGAATTGTGGTTACTGCCTCCCTGCAGAGCAACATAGACACTGATAGTAGCTCGTCTCTGGGAGGGCTCAGCACCCAGGAAACCAACCCTCAAATAGGAACCAAAACCCCAAATAAATCCATCTTACCCAGGGTAAAATTTTTTCACAGAGAAAACACATAAAGACATTCACCCTCTTCTTTGAGGAGTGTCCCTGTGGGTGCACCACCATAGGTCTTTGGGGCGCCACTGCACACCTAGTTGGAGATTTACAGTAGCAGTGCCCTCCGGTGGGCCATGCACACGAGGCAGGCAGCACACGCAGTGCTGCTACCATGCATGAACAGCAACTGTCCCCTCAGTTCCTTCTCTGCTGCCACCAGCGTCAGTCAGAACTGCAGTTGCCCTCCTATTTCATCTTGTAGTTTGAATGTTTTCTCTATTAGTGGTTAGTGTCACAATTTTCAATAGTTTAGAGTTAAGGTTTTCTTTTCTTAAAAAAAAAAAAAAAGAGAAAAAAGAGACTTCTCTGCCAGACTGCCATCATTATGGCCTAACAGAGCTATACTACCTGGGATGCCTGGTTCCCCGGGATTCAAACACTGCCTCTCCAGCAGGCTTTCTATCCCCATCTCAGGCGATCACTCCCAGTGTGAGTGCTGCACACACTATGGCACAGTGCCAATATTGCAGACAGCTAACAGCTCGCACACGCAAGGCACAGGAGCTCCAATTAAAACTCCTTTCATTGGAGAAAATGGTGAGACCGGCTTCAGACCCAGAGTGCTCCTTTCCCCCTGCGCCATCTGTCACTCTTGGCCATGTCTGAAAGGACCATGTCTGCCAGCTCTGCCTTAAGAGACTCTTCCTCTGATCAACCGAGAGAGATCGCATTCCTTGGATAAAGGTGACTGTCCCTCAAAAAAACCAGGAGCAAGGACCCCCTTTAGTCTCCCGTCCCCCACCCTCGGCTGCATTCCTCTTGGCTAGTTGCAATGGCAGCTCTCCAGAGCCAGGTGCTAAGCCCCACACCAAGGAATGTTAAAGCTCTGTACAGCAAATGTGGGGGGGAGGCTTGGTTCCCATGGAGCTGGGAGAATGTATGTTGGGCTCTGGCCCTGCTGAGGTTACTGGGGTACCCCTGAGAGTTCAGGCTCTGTGGGAGCTGCAGCCTGTCAGTAGGCACTCACCCTGCAGCCTGCCCATGAGCAATCTGCCTCTCATTCTGCTGCTGGGGGTGACTTTCCTCTCTCTCCTCTACCCCCCACCATAGGATGTAAGCCTTCACTTTGTGCTGTGGGGCTGTCTGCATGTCTACCAGCGCATGATCGACAAGGCAGAGGATGTGTGCCTCTTCTTGACGCAGCCTGGCGAGATGGTGGGCCAGCTGGCTGTGCTGACCGGAGAGCCCCTCATCTTCACCATAAAGGCCAACCGCGACTGCACCTTCCTCAAGATCTCCAAGTCGGACTTCTATGAGTTGGTGTCCCCCTTCTCTTCCTCATCCCGTGGGCAGCTCCTACCTGCCACCCCACTGACACCTAGTTTGGGCCAGATTGAGATCAGGGCCCATAGCGGGGAAAAGCCCTATGTCCCATTCCCCACCCCCATAAGCCAGCCAGCCAGCCCCATGCCACGGGGCTGAATTGGAGCTGCCGCTTTCTAGAGTTGAAAGGCCCCATGTCCCAGTCCTCCAACCATGCCCCTGTTGCCTGGGACTGAATTCTCCTGCCCAAGGCTGTGAACTGTTCTGGTGTCCTGTTTTCTCGGCAGGCTGTTCCAGAAGAGGTGGGGTGACTTGGGGATAGGCAGCTGCACTTGCAGCACATGGTGCACTGACCAGCTACCTGCTGTCTCCCCAGGATCATGCGGGAGCAGCCCAGTGTGGTGCTGAGTGTTGCCCATACTGTAGCTGCCCGCATGTCTCCGTTCGTGCGCCAGATGGACTTTGCCATTGACTGGATGGCTGTGGAAGCTGGGCGGGCCTTGTACAGGTGAGTGAGACCTGTGCTGGGGGGATGCTGAGAGCCCTTCCTGGGGAGTCCCAAGTTTTCTTCCTGGCTCAGGGCACAGCTGGGACCAACTCTCCCTACTGTGTTTTAACCCCCTATGCATGTCTGAAAGGACCATGTCTGCCAGCTCTGCCTTAAGAGACTCTTCCTCTGATCAACCGAGAGAGATCGCATTCCTTGGATAAAGGTGACTGTCCCTCAAAAAAACCAGGAGCAAGGACCCCCTTTAGTCTCCCGTCCCCCACCCTCGGCTGCATTCCTCTTGGCTAGTTGCAATGGCAGCTCTCCAGAGCCAGGTGCTAAGCCCCACACCAAGGAATGTTAAAGCTCTGTACAGCAAATGTGGGGGGGAGGCTTGGTTCCCATGGAGCTGGGAGAATGTATGTTGGGCTCTGGCCCTGCTGAGGTTACTGGGGTACCCCTGAGAGTTCAGGCTCTGTGGGAGCTGCAGCCTGTCAGTAGGCACTCACCCTGCAGCCTGCCCATGAGCAATCTGCCTCTCATTCTGCTGCTGGGGGTGACTTTCCTCTCTCTCCTCTACCCCCCACCATAGGATGTAAGCCTTCACTTTGTGCTGTGGGGCTGTCTGCATGTCTACCAGCGCATGATCGACAAGGCAGAGGATGTGTGCCTCTTCTTGACGCAGCCTGGCGAGATGGTGGGCCAGCTGGCTGTGCTGACCGGAGAGCCCCTCATCTTCACCATAAAGGCCAACCGCGACTGCACCTTCCTCAAGATCTCCAAGTCGGACTTCTATGAGTTGGTGTCCCCCTTCTCTTCCTCATCCCGTGGGCAGCTCCTACCTGCCACCCCACTGACACCTAGTTTGGGCCAGATTGAGATCAGGGCCCATAGCGGGGAAAAGCCCTATGTCCCATTCCCCACCCCCATAAGCCAGCCAGCCAGCCCCATGCCACGGGGCTGAATTGGAGCTGCCGCTTTCTAGAGTTGAAAGGCCCCATGTCCCAGTCCTCCAACCATGCCCCTGTTGCCTGGGACTGAATTCTCCTGCCCAAGGCTGTGAACTGTTCTGGTGTCCTGTTTTCTCGGCAGGCTGTTCCAGAAGAGGTGGGGTGACTTGGGGATAGGCAGCTGCACTTGCAGCACATGGTGCACTGACCAGCTACCTGCTGTCTCCCCAGGATCATGCGGGAGCAGCCCAGTGTGGTGCTGAGTGTTGCCCATACTGTAGCTGCCCGCATGTCTCCGTTCGTGCGCCAGATGGACTTTGCCATTGACTGGATGGCTGTGGAAGCTGGGCGGGCCTTGTACAGGTGAGTGAGACCTGTGCTGGGGGGATGCTGAGAGCCCTTCCTGGGGAGTCCCAAGTTTTCTTCCTGGCTCAGGGCACAGCTGGGACCAACTCTCCCTACTGTGTTTTAACCCCCTATGTGCCAGAGTAGTGGACAGCCCCCTGATTCTCAGCCTCATCCATGCCCTTCCTGCAGTATAAATGACTCCGGCATTCCAGCGCTCTGGCTGGGTGCTGCCCGGTCAGGAGCCAGACTGTTTCCAGAGGGGCCAGGTGAGAACTGCCCAGATGCCTGTGACCCCTCCATAGGACTCAGGCTTTCACCTAGGCTGATCTGACTTCAGCCCCTTTCTGTGTTGCATTGAGAGGAGCCCGGGTGCTTTAGGGATGGGCAGGTGCCAGTTGGGGCTGTCAGACTTGCCGCTTATAGCATGCACTGTACCAGCCCAGCCTATGGGGACACTCTCCCTGGCACAGGTGGTGGCTCAGCTGGCAAGCTCACTGCATGTGCTCTCCCAGCCCAGGTGGTAGGGGGCGCTCTCTATTGGATGGTCACTGGCTCAGCTGGCAGACTCACTGCTTGCTGCATGTGCTTCCCAGGCAGGGCGACAAGTCGGACTGTACCTACATTGTGCTGAATGGGCGCCTGCGCTCTGTCATTCAAAAAGGCAGTGGCAAGAAGGAGCTGGTTGGGGAGTACGGCCGTGGGGACCTCATTGGAGTGGTGAGCTTCATCCCATGACTCCGCTGGGGTGGAGGTGTTCCCCACCTGACCATTGAAGGGGATGGGGCCAGTCCCTTCCAGGTCCCTTGAGTGGTGGGTGGGCTCTCTTGTTGGGTGGGGTGGGCAGGCAGCGTCTCCTTAGGCTTGCAGTGGTGATGAGCAGCTGCAAGTCACGGGTGCTCAGGCCAGGCTGTCCAAGGGTGAATTGTCCATTCCCTCCTTCTCCAGACCCTCCTGGCTTGGGTGGTAGGTAGGTCATCTGCTGCCAGCAACTGTCCTGGCACATAGCTTAGCGTAGTATTGGAGACTGGCAGAGAGTCTCCTGGGTAGAGTGAGGAAGATGGGGCTGGACATAGAATCATGGAGCTGGAAGAGACCTCAGGAGGTCATCAAGTCCAGCCCCTGTCCAAAGCAGAACCAACCCCAACTAAATCAACCCAGCCAGGGCTTTGTCAAGCTGAGACTTAAAAACCTCTAGGGATGGAGATTCCACCCCCTCCCTAGGTAACCCATTCCAGTGCTTCCCCATCCTCCTAGTGAAATATTTTTTCCTATTATCCAACCTAGACCTCCCCCACTGTAACTTGACATTCAGAGCCCTGGATTCTCTTCCCAGCTTGGGGAGGGCTAGTGGATTAGAACAGATAGCCGGGGCTCCTGGGTTCGGTATCTCACCTGGTGCCTCAGTTTCCCCCTCTGTACAAGAAGATTTTTGAGACATCCCTGTGATGTGAGGCAGACCTTGTCTAGGACAGTGAAGGTCTCCCCTTCCCTGACTCTAATGTGGCCTGTGTGGTCTCCTCTAGGTGGAAGCCCTGACCCGGCAGCCTCGAGCCACCACCGTCCATGCCGTGAGAGACACAGAGCTGGCTAAGCTGCCTGAGGGCACCCTGAACAATATTAAGCGCAGATACCCCCAGGTACCAGGGGCAGAGTGTGCATCAGAGGAAACAGCCCATTCCAGTGCCTCAGCTTGCTACGCTGTGGGTGCTGTGCTCAGGCAAGGGTGGGCTGGAGTGAGGCAGGAACTCTTCTGTCTGGGAGAAAGCTGCTCGGGAGGTAGGCTTGAGAATCTCACCTCCACCATCAGCAGGATGCAAGTCTACGTGATTGGTGATCCTCTGCTAAGAAGAGCACATAGGCCTGTTACCAGAGCAAATCTGGGAGCTAAGCTACAGGGTGTGGATCTGAGTCTGAAGAAGATCCTAATCAGAGTAGGAAGAATCCATTTGTCCCTCACGTGCGAACAAGTGACACGGCTAGATTATTGTGTCAAGAGAGACTGCCAGGCTGAGGAAGATGCTTAAGGAAATCGAGGCCCAGGTGGGATTCTGCCCCTCCCTAAATGAGAGTGAACGCAAGGCAAGACAAGAGTAGAATGGCTCAGAGAGTGGTTGGGGATGTTTGACCATTGGAGGCAGTCACAGACAGTTCTCATGGAATGAGCAGGAGGGATTAGGGTGCTCGGATGGTAGTTGGTAGAACTGATTAAAAGAGCATTAAATTAGGAACTTGGAGGAGACAATTGGGAGATGCTCATGAAATCTGCACTCCTGATTCTAATATTGACCTGGAAGCAAGTCAAGAAAGAGAGGGCACAGCAATGAGGAAGGAATAGGATTGGGCAGGTGAGTGGAAGGGTAGATGAATCTAGCAGTAGAATGATTATACCCAGTCCTGTGTGAAATGTGGCAAAACCAAGCAGCAGCAATTAAGAGATTTGTACACCAGTGTAAGGAACCTGGGTAACAAAATGGAGGAATTAGGGCTACTGGTGCAGGAAGTGAAACCAGACCTAGTAGAGAATAACAGAAACGGGTGGAATAGGCCTGAGTGGAGTACAGGAATTGAAGGTGTGTCTGCTCAGGAAAGAGAGAAATAAAGGCAGAGGGGGAGAAGTAGCAGTGTGTGTTAATGATGAGGTAGACTGTAAAGAAATTAGAAGGGATAAAATGGGCCAGGGAGTCTGTTTAGGCCAAAATCACTCAGGGGAAGAAGCTAGTGGAAATACCCTGTAGGACAGTGCTTGGGGTATCAGACATCCAGGATCCAGTTCAGAGATGGAGAGAGAATGCTTTTATTTTGAATGAAATAAATACTACTGGGAATTGTCACTATGGGAGACTTTAATATCCCATAGAGAGACTGGAAGACAAGTGCTAGTAATAGTAGTAGGGCCCAGGTTTCCTGCATGTGCTGGCTGACAGATTTCTTCACCAGTCACCGAACCTACAGGAGGCAATGCCACTTTAAATTGGTATGGGTGAGTAGTATGAACCTTGTAGGAGAGCCAATTGTAGGAAACCACTTTACTTCAAGTGATCATGAGCTAATTAATGCAAGAATAAACAAAAATCCATCCGCACGGAGAGGTCTTGAAAAGGGCAAACTTTAAGAAATGAAGGAAATTAGTTAAGGAAGGGGGCTGGGCCAAAGAGCCCAAGGCTCTGAATGTAGAGGAGACTTGGAATTACTTGAAGTCAAAGTTCAGAAGCTCTCTGAAGCCTGCCTCCCAAGCAAAAGGGAAATGCCATCAGGGAGGGTTGTGGATCGGTCTGGATGAGGTAGCATCTCAAACAGGTGACTAGGAGAGAGCAGAGAATCTGGAGCCACTAAGCACTGTGGATGCGGAGAAATTAAAGATTATCTGGACGTGGCCCAATTCCTAAACAAATATTTGCCTCAGATTTTAAGAAGGGTAATGAAGAGCTTAGGGATAGCAACAATTTGGATAATGGGAATGAAAATATGGAAGCAGAAATTACCAGATCTAAGGCAGAAATCCAACTCAAACAGCTTTAAGGGCAGGGCGGGACAGGGAGGCAGATCATCTCCATCCATGTTAAAGTTAAAGGAACTGCTACATGAAATTGCAAGTCCAATAGCAAGAATCTGTAATAAATCTGGAAACTCATGGGTCATGTTTGTGATTGGAGAATTGCCAATATAGTTCCTGCTTTTAAGGTAATCCAGCAAACTCCAGGCTTGTTAATTTGATCCAAGTTGTAACCAGAGTCATGGAACAAATTTTAAAAGAGAAACTGAAGACATAGAGGTTAACAGTAATCGTGATAAAATAGAAAATGGTTTTATAAATATAGATCTTGTCAAACCAACCTGATCTCCTTCTCTGAGAAGATAAGGCATTGTATGAAGTTCTGCACATAAATTAATTGTTAAAATGAGAATTAAAAGGTGGATAAGGAATTTGTGAAAGGAGAAACTACAATGGGTCACAGTGAAAAGTGACCTGTCAGGCTAGCAGGAGATTACTAGTGGAGCTCCACAGGGATTGGTCTTGGGACCCAGCTTAACCTTTGTACAAAAAATTGGGAAGGTGTTAATAAAATTTGCAAATGATGCAAAGTTAGGAGATGTTTCTCAATACGGAGGAGTAATGGAATGTCACACAAGAAGATCTAGATAACCTTGAAAGCAGGAGTAATAGAAGTGGGATTAAATTTACTAGTGCACTTTGCACTAAAATTCTTGTTGTCAGTCACTAAAAGCTGGTGACGTATCAGTTGGAAGCAACAGAGGAGAAAGACCTGGGCATATTGGCTGATCACAGCAGAACTAGGAGCTGCCGATGTGCTGTCCTAGGATGCGTCCGGCGAGGTGTTTCCAGTAGAGACAGGGAGGGACATGTCGGTGCCATTATACCAGGTGCTGGGGAGACCTGGAATTCTGCATGCAGGTCTGGCTTCCCGGGGTAAGAAAGGTGCAGAGGAGGATCTGAGGAGTGGAAACCCATCTTGCAAGAAAAGACCGAAGAGACTGGCCCATTCAGCCCAACCTCACAAAGGCGGAGGGGAGAGACGATTGCTCACTCAGGATAAATACATCCAAAGGCTAAATGCTACTGCCCCTCAGCACATTGAGGCTTGAAATTAGGAGCAGGTTTTCTAACCATCGGAGGGGTGAAGTTCTGGAGCAGCCTCTCCTGGAGCCATGGGGGAAAAAAATCAACTGGCTGTAAGTCAGAGCTTGACAAGTTTCGGGGGAGCAGAAGGGGAGCATAGGATGGCCTCCAATGCACTGAGCCACCCTAAGAACATAAGAACAGACATACTGGGTCAGACCAAAGATCCATCTAGCCCAGTATCTGTCTTCCTACAATGGCCAAAGCCAGATGCCCCAGAGGGAGTGAACCGAACAGGTAACCATCAAGTGATCCCTCTCCTGTCATCTGAAGAAGGCTGTGCCTGTGAAAACTCATGATACCATCTACATCAGTGGTCCCCAACTTGGTGCCTGCAGGTACCATGGCGCCCGCCAGGGCATTTATGCATGCCCACCAAATCATCTGGGCCGGCCCCGCCCCCAGCACACGGCACATGCGTGGAGCTGGGTGCAGGGCACGTGGGAGGCCCCTGCCCCGGGCACGCAGCACATGTGCAGTGTCGGCCCCAGGTGCATGGGCGACCCCTGCCCTGGGTGCGGTGCCCTGCGCGGGTGCACATGCACGGCCCCTGCCCCAGGCGCAGGGCATGTGAGCGGCTCCTGCCCCAGGCGCGCGGCACATGCATGGTGCCGCCCCTGGGTGCGTGGGTGGCCTCGCCCCTGGTCACGTGCGTGGCCCTGCCCCCGGATGCCCTGCGCGTGAGTGGCCCCGCTCCCGGACGCCCGGCAGCCCCTAAAGGTTGGGGACCACTGATCTACATGTTTTGTTAGCCTTTAAAGTGCTACCAGACTATTTGTTGTTTTTTAAGTTTATTCCATTTCAGTTCCTGACGAACAGAGGCCAGGGGCACCATTCCTACCCATTCTGGCTAATAAGTATTGATGGACCTAACCTGCATGAATTTACCTAGTTCTTTTTTGAACCCTGTTAGAGCACATCTACACAGCACGGCTAAAGCTGAAATAAGCTACCTAACTTAAGCTACGTCAATTGCGTAGCTGAAGTTGAAATAGCTTATTTCGGCTTTTGGTGCTGTGTACACAGCAGGAAGTCCAAGGAAGAGCACTCTTCCTCTGACTTCCCTTACCCCTAGTAAAATGAGGATTGCAGGAGTCAAAGTAAGAAATCCTCCAGCTCAACATTATTTTGACATTATGTCAAAGTAACTGCTTGTAGCGTAGGTGCAGATTATGTTATTTTGGAATAACATCAGTTATTCCAAAAATCCACTGCTGTGTAGATGTACCCCTAATGTCCTGGTCTTCACAACATCCTCTGGCAAGGAGTTCCACAGGTTGACTGTACTCTGTGTGAAGAAGAACTTCCTTTTGTTTGTTTTAAACCTGCAACTGCTGGCAGCAAGCATCCCCAGTGGCCAGTGACAGGACGCTAGATGGAGTGAGCTCTGGGTTGCTATGGAGAATTATTTCCCAGCTGCCTGGCTGCTGGGTCATGCCCATGTGCTCAGGGTCTCACTGATCACAGATTTGGGGTTGGGCAGGAATTTCCGCTCCACCCTCAGTCAGACTGGCAGAGACCCTGGGGGGTTTCACCTTCCTCTGAAGCATGGGGCCTGGGTCGCTGGCATGTTTAAACTTCTGTAAATGGTAGGTTCTCTGTAACTTGAAGTCTTTAAATCCTGATTTGAGGATGTCAGGACCTTAGCTAGGGGTTCTAGGTCTGTTATAGGAGTGGGGGTGCGGTTCTGTGGCCTGTGATGTGCAGGAGGTTGGACTGGGATCATCATGGTCCCTTTCAGTCTTATAGGCTGAGTCTGTGAGCTTCCTCATCTGGCTAGACCTGTTCCTGTCCAGCGTTCCAGTGAAACAAGGACAAGGCCACATTGCAGTTCTGCTCAGGGAAAGCCTGAGTGTGGCTATCTCTGTAGCAGGCCCTAGGGGAGATTCTGAATTGCACTGAGTTCTCCCGTTCTGGTGGAACTTGGGGCCTGACCACTCAGCTGGCAGCCCTGCCCTTCATGTAGTGACGTGATTCTAGTCGTGCCTGGGAATCGTGATGGGGCAGAGGACATCTTGGCCTAGCTTATGCCAGGTTTGCCAGCCTCTTGCTGTGTCTGGCCTCTGCATTGATTAAGGGAGAGCTCTGGCACCCATGTCCCACTGCCAGGATAATGCCAGCCTTCTGTCCTGGGTCATCCTCCTTCCTGAGTCCCACAGTGGTTCTAGCCACCAGGAGGTGTGCAGGAACTTCTTCACGTTTGTCCCCTCCAGGGCAGACTACCCCATGCCATGTCCCAGCCGGACAGGCCTCTGAGCCCTGCCATGGCAGTCATTCTTCCCCTACCCCCACACATGGGCCCTGAAGGGTGGGCAGAGAAGAGAGTCCCTGGAGTGGCCAAGGGGCTGGCTGAACTGAACCCTGCCCTTCTCCATAAGCCTTTGACCTGGGTTGGCTGCTGTTCCTGGCAGGTCGTGACCCGCCTGATCCACTTGTTGAGCCAGAAGATCCTTGGGAACCTACAGCAGCTGTGCGGGCCTTTCCCAGGTAGGGGCTTTGGGTGAAGGGTTAAACTGCAGCTTACCCTAATGCAGGTGCAGCCTACCCAGGTTCTAGAGGCACCAGCATGGGGCTCCAGGGAATGTGGCTTGGTGCTGGCATATCCCTGAGGAGCAACTGGCAGGCATGCTGGGCACTGACCCACCTGGGGATTTTCCAGGGCTCCAAGGCAAGAAACAGGAGCTCCCTGGCTTGGGAGGGAGCCAGCTCCGTGCAGGCCAGGGCAGCAGAGATTAAGGTGCTCAGTGCTGATGCTGGGTGCCACAGGGCAGAGCTCCAGACTGGGTCCTGTGATTGGTGGGTGTCTTGTCCTCTGGGCCTCTCAGTTGATCAATCACTGTCTTGGGCCCACAGGCTCCAGTCTTGGTGTGGCCTCCAGCTCAGAGGTGACCAACCCGGCCAGTAACCTGTCCACAGTGGCGGTGCTACCAGTGTGTGATGACGTGCCCATGGCGGCCTTCACGCTGGAGCTGGAGCATGCCCTCAATCCCATAGGTGAGTGAGGTGCCAGGGCCTTGCCCGGCTTTTAGCCATGCTTGGGGTGCAGGCCCGGTGTGATGGGCCCATTCACTCTTCCAGGTCCCACCTTGCTTCTGACCAGTGACATCATCCGAGCACGGCTTGGTGCCTCAGCGTTGGACAGGTAGGGGACTGGTGCAGGCAGTGGTCGGACTGAGGCTATGATCTCTCTTTCTCTGTGAGGTCTGCATGGCTGTGCTACGGGACTTGTGCCATTAGGGCACAGCAGGGCCCCCTTCAGGAGAGAGCGCAGCAGGGAATTCTTGTTGGAGATAGGCTGGAGCAATAGGGAGGGGTTGATGGGGATGGGGATGTAGCTTGGGGGTTGCTCATTAGGAGCTTAAGGCTTAGGTGTGGGGGACAGCAGGGGATCCTTGTTGTGAGGGATGTGTCACAGATTCACAGGATAGCGCGAGGGCCCAGTTTTGGAACAGTCTCTGGTGGAGCCCCTTGAGGCCTCTCTTTCTCCAGGGGAAGCACAAGGCTTTGCTGCCTCTTCAGGCTGGACTGCCAGGTCTTCAGCCCCCTGCTTCACACCCACTCAGCAACTTCAGCTGAGGCAGAGCCCTGAGGGAGACTTGTCTCACCTCAGTGAGCAATGCATCTCCTCTGCCAGCATCCGCAGGGGCAGCCAGCCAGCGCCATCACACATGGGTGCTTATTTGTTGGCTGGAACACAGCACAGGAAACCCTTGGCTAGCACAGAGAAAAGGAAGTGACAGCAATGTCCAGCCTGGTCAGCACAGAGACCAGAGCTCTGTCCCTGTCACTCGACTGTCCCTATTCAGGTGTACCCTCCACTGCTTCCCACAGTCCACACTTAACACCTCCCTCCCCCAGTCCTCTGTTCCTGAGGGGAAGTCCATTTCTCTCTGGGCCATTGGTTGCTAGGGATCCATGTGTGCGCAGTTGGATTTGCTGTTATCTTAAGAGCTCAACTGATGTAGGATGCAAACCCCACATCAAGGAGTTGTTCACACTTGTGTGGGAGGTTTTTTTTTTAGCCTAGTCAGCAAACAGACCTTCCTCCCACCCCACAAGGTAAGAATGAAGCATATGGGGAAACTGAGGTTTCAAAATGCATAGGTTTCAAAAAAAGGTCTCACAAAAACCTCCCACTGTCACAGCATGTAGCTGGGGAGCTCTGCTAGGAGCTTTAGGGAGGGAGTCCCCATTGGGAGCAGGGACTAGGCTAGGGGGAAGGGGCGCTCCATGGTGGAAGCTTGGAGGAAGACCAGAAATGGGTTGGAGTAACAGGGTGGAGCAGGACAGAGCTGGGGGATGCCTGCTGACATCCCTTCCCTGACAGCATCCAGGAATACCGACTGTCGGGCTGGCTGGCGCAGCAGGAGGACATCCACCGCATTGTGCTGTACCAGACTGACTGCACGCTGACGCCCTGGACTGTGCGCTGCATCCGCCAGGCTGACTGCATCCTCATTGTTGGGCTAGGGGACCAGGAGCCAGCGCTGGGCAAGGTGAGATTGGTGCATTGTGTACCATGCCTGGGGGGATGCTGTAGTCCATGGGGGTGGCCAACATGGTCTTGGATGCTGCATGGGCCTGTGAAGTGCAGCTTGGAAGTGCAGTCAGGATTCCCATATCTCTGCTCTCATATGATCGAGCAATTTCGGTCACTTGATAGCTGGACATAAGCAAACAATATGTGTTTTAATAGGCCTAGTGTGCATGTCTACATCTACAAGCTGTAGCTGTTCTGGCAAGGGGCAGGGAAGCAGGGGCTCTGAAAAAGGCTTGAGAGTCCTGGTGGACATTCAGCTAACATGAGTCCTGGGCATGACAGTGTGTCAAGAAGAGCTAGTGCAACCCTGGGATCTGGAAGCAAGGGAGTGTCAAGTAGGAGGGAGGTGTAACCTCCTGTCAGACGCTGCTGCGACAGCTGCTGGAACCCTGTGTCCAGCTCTGCTGCCTGCAGTTCAGGAAGGTTGTTGATAAGTTGGAGAGGCATCAGAGAAAAGCCATGAGAATAATTAAAGAAACCTGCCTTAAAGTCAGACTCTTGGGGCTCTTTCTAGTTAACATAACAAAGAAAGGGCTAAAGGGTGACTAGATCCCTGTTCCTCCTTGGGGAACAGAAATTTGATTCTGGCTCATCAGTCTAGCTGAGGAAGTTCTAACATGATCCAATGACTGGAAATCAAAGCTACAGCCCTACATGGGTACAGAAATGTATACCCACATCTAATCCATGGCTGTGGATATCAGCATCCGTGAATGAGGATAGCTGCAGATATCTGCGGATATTCAGGACTCTACTAACAGCTCCACACATCACCAAGCAGCAGTGAGGCAGGGCTCTGCGAAGTCCTCAGCTCTCAACGGCCCTTCTTCGAGTGGTTGCTCGTGTCCATTCGAATTAAGTGTGCGCACCACGTGCACTGCATCTTCCAGAGCGTTTTCCCTACCGGTACCCGTAGTGCCGGCAGGGCGTCCCCTGGAGTGGTGCCGCCATGGTGGGGCATAAGTACCCCTGCCAGCACTGCCCCACCTCAGTTCCTTCTTACCGCAGTGACGGTCGTTGGAGCGTCTCTATATCTCTGTCTTAGTTAGTTAATGGTTCCCGTTCTCACATTGGTTTGTAAATAGTTCTTGCAGTTTTTAATTCTCTCCCTTCGGGGGTGAGGAATGCCAGGGCCACAAGGTTTTAAGGCGTGTGCTGTCTGCGCAAAGTTTATGTCCATAGGAGACCCTCACGATAGTTGTCTGAAGTGTCTGGGTGAGGGCCACCTTACAGACACCTGTAAGATCTGCAAGTTGTTTAAGCCGTGCCCTAAGAGGGAGAGAGACTCTCATTTAAAACTTCTCCTCATGGAGGCGGCTTTACAGCCAGCACTGACTGGACACTGCGGTGTGCAGTGCACCGGCATCCATGCACAATGCTCCATCTCGAGAGCGGGCCTCGGTATCGAGGGCTCGGCACCGTTCTCACTCCCCGGCACTGAAGAGATCAAGAACGTCCCATGGTAGGTCTCCGAGCCGGAAGTTCAAGTTGGGACTATACCGCAGTGCCGAGTCTTCGGTGCGCACGTCCTCATCTACCACGGTGCAGCATAAGCAAGCGGGATGCCCATCCAGCCCAGGGCAGCTACCCTCGCACTGCCTCTCCACTTTTGAGGCGGCGCATGATCTTATTAGCCTCACTACCTCCCCTCTGTCGTCGGTTGAGGTGGAGAGGTCGAGGTCGTCTACGCCGGAGGCCGTGTTGGCACCAGCTTTGCCTCAGCACCGGCATGACCGGACGGCACCGGTCGCTTATGCAGCAGGACTGTCCCCTGTGGGACCAGTACCGCTTGCCTCAACATCGGTGCCGGCCTCAATGCAGGCCGCCAGGCTTCACTCGCGTTCGACTGGGCTCGACCTCCCTTGGTGCTGGGACCTCTTCCAGACGCCATGGGCTTACCACCAGTGGCAGGGGCCTGTGCCCTCCTCTGGTGTCTCGGGGCACCAAGCACTATCGTCGGCATCGCTATCACGACCCCCTCCTTCCCCCCAGAGGTCGGTTACTACAGATGCCGCTGCTGAGCCACAAGCCTCGGTACCGGAGCCGCTTCTGCAAACGGTGCCGCCTGCCCAGCCGGCTTCTCAACCGGGCCCTGCACTGGATCCAGTACCGATCCAGGAGTCGTCGTCATCTTTGTCTCCTGATGAAGCCTTGGCAGATCCCGCACCAGCGTTGCCTACAATGGATGCTCGAGCGCATCAGGATCTGCTTAGGCGTCTGGCCTCCAATCTGGCTGTCCCAGTGGAGCCAGTAGTGGAGGACACGGACCCCATGATCGACATCCTCTCTGACGATGCCCCCACCCGCTTGGCTTTGCCACTTCATAAAACCATGGCCAAGATTACTAATGCCCTGTGGCAGACCCCGGCATCCCTGACCCCTACCTTAAAGGGAGTTGAGGCGCTATTACGTTCCCCAGTTGGGGCACGAACACTTGTACTCCCAACCTGTTCTGGGGTCCTTGGTCGTTCAAGCTGTGGCTCAAAGGGAGAGGCTTCCCCAGCCGGGGCCGTCCCCGAAGGCTAGGGAGCCCAAACGCCTTGACCTGATGGGCTGTAAGGTGTATGCCACTGGTGGGGGGCAACTCCACATTGCTAACCAGCAAGTGATGCTGAGTCGATATGCTTATAATACATGGCAGGCGGTGAATAAGTTTAAGGATAAGCTCCCTGCCGAGGCCCATCAGGAGTTTGGGCCGTGACCTTGAAGGGCAGAACCATTGCCTGCACAGCCCTTCAGGCTTCCCTGGATGCTGTTGACTCTGCAGCCTGTACCATGGCATCAGGTGTAGTTATGCGCTGTGGTGCCTGGCTGCAGGTGTCTGGAATACCTCCGGATGTCCAAACTACGATCCAGGACCTGCCTTTTGATGACAAGCGTTGTTTTCGGAGCACACGGACTCCAGGCTCCATACGTTTGAGGACACGAGGTCTACTTTCCGGTCCTTGAGGATTCACACACTGGCTCCTCAGCGTTGTCAGCTGCCCTACAGACAGCAGGGGAGAACGCAGTCCCAGGTCCCCCGTGGGGATTACTGGAGACGCCGTCCTCGTGCCCCCAGTGGAGGTGCGGGGGCGGTTGCGGGCCCCTCATCCGCAAGGGGTTGTCGACATCGCCCGAGAGGGGACAACCCCCGTGGCGTTGGTCAAGGCTCCTCTCAGCAGAACCAAGCACCAGTTTTGACGGGCTGCTAGAGTGTCGTGCACCAGCCTCCCACCCTGGCCCCCCATTTGGGGCCAGGTTATCCCGGTTTGCCCACGCCTGGACAGAAATCACCACCAATGCCTGGGTTCTAAAAATAGTCAGAAATGGCAATACTGTTCCCTTCCTGGGCTCACCCTCTTCCACCCTGCCCGCCCCGTCCATTTTCAGGGACACCTCTCACAAAGGCATCCTCCGTCAGGAGGTGCTAGCGCGCCTCGAAAAGGGAGCTGTGGAGAGGGTCCCCTCGCATCTGAGGGGCAGAGGGTTTTACTCCCGGTATTTTGATGTCCCAAAACCAAAGGGCAGGGTTCGTCCCATCTTAGATCTCAGGGACCTCAACAAGACAGTGGTGAAATCCAAATTCAGAATGGTAACCCTGGCCTCGGCTATCCTGGTTTTACAGTTAGGAGACTGGTACACAACTCTCGATCTCAAGGATGCTTACTTCCATGTAGCAATAAGACCCAGCCATAGGAGGTTTCTCCATTTTATTGTTTCCCGATGTCACTTCCAATTTACAGTGCTCCCATTTGGCCTTTCTACAGCACCCAGGGTTTTTACAAAATTCATGCGGTCGTAGCGGTATGTCTCTGCAAAAAAGGGATACACGTTTTTCCATACCTAGACGACTGGCTGATTCATGGTCGTTCCTACGAATAAGTGGAGGCCCATGTTTCCGTCACAAGGGCCCGCTTCGTAAGGCTGGGGCTCATGCTAAACTAGGAAAAGTCATTGTTGACTCCCTCCCAGCATCTCGAATTTGTAGGTGCCCTCCTGGATGCCAGGGTGGCGAGAGCACTTCTCCCCAGAACCAGGTTTCTGTCCATAGTGGAGCTGGTCTCCTCAGCACCGGCATGACCGGACGGCACCGGTCGCTTATGCAGCAGGACTGTCCCCTGTGGGACCAGTACCGCTTGCCTCAACATCGGTGCCGGCCTCAATGCAGGCCGCCAGGCTTCACTCGCGTTCGACTGGGCTCGACCTCCCTTGGTGCTGGGACCTCTTCCAGACGCCATGGGCTTACCACCAGTGGCAGGGTCCTGTGCCCTCCTCTGTGGTGTCTCGGGGCACCAAGCACTATCGTCGGCATCGCTATCACGACCCCCTCCTTCCCCCCAGAGGTCGGTTACTACAGATGCCGCTGCTGAGCCACAAGCCTCGGTACCGGAGCCGCTTCTGCAAACGGTGCCGCCTGCCCAGCCGGCTTCTCAACCGGGCCCTGCACTGGATCCAGTACCGATCCAGGAGTCGTCGTCATCTTTGTCTCCTGATGAAGCCTTGGCAGATCCCGCACCAGCGTTGCCTACAATGGATGCTCGAGCGCATCAGGATCTGCTTAGGCGTCTGGCCTCCAATCTGGCTGTCCCAGTGGAGCCAGTAGTGGAGGACACGGACCCCATGATCGACATCCTCTCTGACGATGCCCCCACCCGCTTGGCTTTGCCACTTCATAAAACCATGGCCAAGATTACTAATGCCCTGTGGCAGACCCCGGCATCCCTGACCCCTACCTTAAAGGGAGTTGAGGCGCTATTACGTTCCCCAGTTGGGGCACGAACACTTGTACTCCCAACCTGTTCTGGGGTCCTTGGTCGTTCAAGCTGTGGCTCAAAGGGAGAGGCTTCCCCAGCCGGGGCCGTCCCCGCGGGGCTGTCCCCGAAGGGTAGGGAGCCCAAACGCCTTGACCTGATGGGCTGTAAGGTGTATGCCACTGGTGGGGGGCAACTCCACATTGCTAACCAGCAAGTGATG